CTGTTGATTAATTTTCTAGGTACCAGTGAATCCAGGGCTCAGATGGTTGTTCCCCGTGGTACAGTCAGTGCCGTGGTTCTAGTTACCTTGTTGGTCATTCTGTGTTCCTGGAGGTTGCTCAGCATGCCCAGGCTTTGCTCAGATCCCTTGTAGTTTTCTGTCTCAGGCCTGTTCTAGCCTAGTCTGTCGGCTCAGACCTTTTTCTGCAAATGTCCCTGGACTAGATCCGTTCCTACAGAGGTCCCTGACTTGAGGTTGATATTGTAAAGGACTCTGGCTCTGATTCATTGCCTCAGAGTTTTCAGGCTCTGGTGTGTCCAGACCAGCAGAGGTCCTGGCTCGGGCATATTCCCTCAGAGGTCACAGACTCACACCTCTGAGTCTGGACCCTCTGAGATCTCCTGTCAGAGTATTCTTAAGATAGCCTTTTCCTTTCTCTTTGTACCATCCCCTTCTAAATTTGGAGTTCAATTTTGGATGTGTCCATTGTGGAGCACTGTGATTATCTTTTAAAGCCCTTGACAAGAACAGGGAAAAGGTCTCTAGCAAAGTTTCCCCCTAGGCCCGTTGTTGCCAGAGTTTCTTTCAATAGTAATTGCCATGCATCTATTCTAAGTCACTGGTCCTTCCCTCAAAGGGCCAGCCTGCCACCCTCACATCTCTGATGCTGTCATTCATATCTTTTGGGGGGGACCTTCAATTATCAATCTCAGAAAATCCTATAAATCTTCATTAGGAAATTCCTTATGAAGTTTTGCTGAAAAGTAGTTACTGTGAGCTGTGTGTGCAGCAGCTGTTTGCCTAAGTTAAAAAAAATTGACCGTTTTAATTTGTTTTAAAAATATCCACTGGCACCGGTTCTCATTACAGATGTGTGGTTGTAACATTTCATTTTTAAAATGTGTATCCATCTTTTTTCAGTTCCAAAGGAGTCCAAAGAAACCATCTCAAACCTTAAAAATAACCACTAAATCTACAGTATTTTTGGTTTTTAAAAATTCTCAAGGGAGGACATTTTTTATCTTGGACCGAAGCTTCATGCAGGGTGGCCCATTTAAAAGAGGCCCTGTGCACAGCCACGTTATTAAACGGGAACGTCTTAAATGGGCCACCCTGTAAATCAGGCTTTCTCCAGTGAGTATTTACTCCCTGCACACTGGAGAGTTTGGTGCAAGTTTTCAGTCGTTGTGCTTGGTAAATAACCCTGCAGCATAAATGCGCATATCCAGGTGATATGTAGTAGTGCAGATCTGAATTCAGACATTGGGCAGAAGCTCCAAGTTCACCTGTGCAATGTCATATTTCCAAGATCTTCTGGAAATTCTGGCCAGCATTATGCAGATCTCCTTTTTGAAAAGCTTTCTAATGGATGAAACACAAGTATACTGGGAATAACTTTTGATTTAAACAGTAATACAACTTTGGATTTTCTTTTACTGGAAATCTTTTAAATCAGGACAGACATCTTTCCTTAAAAATACTATAGGATATGCCGTACTTGATATTTTTAATCTAAAGATTCCCAACATATTATTCTTTTGAATTATATATGTGTACACACACATGCATATACACAATCTTTTCCAGAATAATATTTTATTTGAGCAGTAATCTATGTAATTCAAATTTGGTGAAAGCCCATCCAAATTTTTAAGGAAAGAATATAAATTGAAGTCTGTATATTATATGTTATTCCAAGTTCCTCAAATCACAAAACAAAAAGAGAAGCAAAAGAATGGGTAATTGGCACTGTATGAAAAAGGCACTTTGCCAAGCCTTAGTCTTTTATGTCCATGCTGGGCGAAGTGGTTTGAGACCCTCAGCATTCCTGCCATTTAACCTTCCATTGCCCAGAGCAGTGCCCTGTTTTCACCTGCAGTAAAACAGCTACATGCTTTGTGATGTCCTGTCTTTTGTTTTGAGCCACCGGGGAGTTTTCCTTAGGATCTGTATGGTGTCATGTGAAATATTGGGCCACACTGCCATCAATGAGTGTGGAGGTTTCTGTGTTTATGACTTTAGACTCAGGATAGGCTTCTCTTTATCATGTACAGATGATGGTGTTAATTAACCCTGCACACTTGATTGCATAGTCGATTGACTGTAGAATACCTTTCTATCAAAGGTATCTGAATCTCCAGATTGTTTCTGGTGTTTCTCTAGCTTACCTACAAGGGATTTTTTTTTTAATTTCTATGGGTCATACTTGTTTGTTTTATTCTTAGAACATTTTAGGCCATTACAATTTGAGGATACTGGTTAACAGCTTCCTGTAAAAAACAGCCATCATATTTTAATTCTATATATCATGGAAACTAGAGCCTGGAGGGCAGATGAGAAACAATTCCTAATAAAGAAAAGGTTTTGAAATTGGAATCCCAATAAGATTTAGTAGAACAAAGTGTGGTCTAGTCTGATCCTTTTCCTCTGGAGGAATGTAAGGAATTGAAAGTGAGAAATAAAGTAGGCTTTTTGTTTGTTTGTTCATCTTTGTAGACATGCTGCGCTCACATCTTTAGAGGTGTCTTCTTTTAAAACAGAGGAGAAATAATTTGAGTCTGTTTCAAAAGTCAGTGTTTTTCATTTTATAAAATTTAAATCAGCATTCTGAACACGATATCAAAAAAGACCATGTCGCAGCTCTTGTAGGTTATTGTCTCACCTCACTTTCTACAAAATGTATCAACTAAGCGGTGTCTCATTTATTCTTCCCTCACCCCATAATGAATGAAATTTTGCTACCAAACTTACTAACTGACCACTTAATGAATGTGTAAAAGTGTAACTAACAAAAATATAGTTGTTTCCTTAAAATTTTTGTGTGCTGTATGTGTGGTTATGTGTGCACAAGTTTGCACACATATGGAGGCCAGACAAGAACATTGCATGTCTTTCTTTATCACTTTCCACCTTATTTTCCAGGCAGTGTCTGTCACTGAACCTGAAGCTCACTTTACTAGCCTGGGTCCAGTGAACTCCCAGGATACTACTGTCCAACCCCCAACACTTGTGGTTGCAGATACTCATGGCTATGACTAGCTTCGGAGTGGAAGCTGGCACTTGGAATTCACATTCTCATGCTTTCAGAACATGTTCTCTTACCCACTGAGCCATCTTTCCAGATCCCTCTTCTATTTCTTAATGTCAAATTTAATTATTAAAAAGAACACAAAAGTGGCATGGATCTAAATGAAGTTTTCGCCTGCCTGTGCCCCCTCTGTTTGAATAGAGGGTGATCTTAGAGGTCATTACCTGACTTACTGAGGACCAGTTAGAATTAATGCCCATGATACCTTTTGGATATCGAGGATTCAGGATTTAGTTACGGAGGGGACTCATCTCTTTCAGTCAGGATGTTTTCATTTTACACCAAGACAAGGTAGGTAAATAGGCCTTGTCTTTCCTTCTGCCTATTAGCCATTGACAAATGAGAGCACACTTTTTTTTTTTGAAGGCAGAAAAAGAGAGTTTGTGGCTGTATCATGCATAGAAAGTTGATTTAATTTTAGTGGTGACACATGTTTGTAATTCCGGCACTTGTGAGGTGGAGGATTAAGGACCAGTAATTCAAGGTTATGCTTGGCTGTGTAGCAATTTCTAGGTCAGCCTGGGCTACATGAATTCCTGTCTCAAAAAAGTAAAGTAAATGAATCTAGATACAGCGTTTCAGGGAGAACCTGCATTGTTCTTCCTGCTCTGGTTTGACCGTGGTCCTTGGCTTTTGGCTGCTTGACTCTTGTCACATTGCTTTCTTCTTATAAGTGTTCATGTTGTTTTTAATCTGTGTCTCTTGTGCATTTTTTCTTTTTTTAATCAGGCTACTTACTGTATTGGATCAGAACCTACTTGATTGTCAGTGTTTTACATTTTCTTTTATAAAGATCCTGTTTCCAGGGCAATCATACTCCGAGGTACTGGATGTCTTTGTTTTCTATTTCCATGATAAACACCATGGCCTAATACAACTTGGGTAGGAACGGGTTTATTTCACCTCACAGCTTTACTGTCCTTCATGAAGGGAGGGCAGGGCGGGAACTTGAGGCAGGAACTGAAGCAGGGGCTGCATCGTGGCTTGCTCTCCATGGCTTACTCAGCTTGGTTTCTTATAGCACTCAGGAACACTTTCCACAGTCAGCTGTGCCTCCCACATCAGTCATCAACCAAGAAAATGCACCACAGGCTTGCCAACCAGTGTAGGCATTTTCTCAGTTGAGGTTCCCTCTTCCAAATGACTTTAGCTTGTGTCAAGTTTGACACAAAAATATCCAGTAAAGCCGCCTATATTTGTCCAGCATGTTTAACTAAGAATGCATTTTTTCATGTTTTTTTGAATTCTTGTGAAATATCCAAAAAAGAGTAGTATTTTATGACCTATACTATTCAGATTTTAGAGTCCATTCACACAGTTGAACTAGACCTTGACTGCTCCTATTCATGCATTTCTGTATTGCTGCTTCTGCTCAATATGAGCGGTGGATTTACAACAAAAGCTTTTATGATCTTGTTACAGAAAAGCAAGATAATAAATGACTCCGGAATTGAAACAGTGGCTTTCCCCCTCGTTTATTAAAATGGGTTTTAAGTAAATGTAGTAATATATATATATGAAAACTTTTGTGGTTTTATTTTATCACGAGGCATTGAAACATCTGAACAAATCAATATCTGGGTGGTGAGGCAGCTGCTTTCTCCTTCACTTCTTTTAGTTACTAGAGCAACTTGTCAGTAGATTAAAAAATGAAATAAAACAAAAACTGACAATCTTTTGCATTACTTAAGTCTTTCTAAAGCATGCGCTGGTACAACACAAACGTCTCCTGTCAGATGCAACTAGTCTAGCATCCAAACATCATGCACAACACCGTGGTGACAGAAGCGCACTGCACCCACTCCCACCTCGGCTCTGCTCATTTGTGTATGATATTTGGAGCATCTGGAGGAGTGAGATAGTGTTGGGAAGAGGAGGGAGGAGGAAACAGCGTGAGTGTCTGGCCAAGAGGTCAGCCAAAGTTGTGCAGGGCAAGCCTGAACATGTCATTGGTGCAAACCCAAGCGTCGTTGATGTTCTTTAATAGAAACATCTGGTGGAAACCCATGATGGGATCTTCATCGGCCTTGAGCTGGCCTACAACCATGCTGATGATACAGCTATCTGGTGTAGGCTGATGGTCCTGCGCCGTGATATTATGCTGGATTTTCTGGAACGGAAGGCTAGACAACTTCTCCACAATGGCAGCTTTCCCCTGGAACTGCTGTCCTTCCCACATAAGGCATGATGCATCAATGTAAATTGCACCTAGCTGGGTTCTGTCGTTATCAAATAATTGGTAGTAATGCTGAATAAAGCTGGATCCAATGTGCTCCCAAATTGGCTTGTCTCCCATCCTGGAGAGTCACCCACCTCACCAAGACCCGTGGGGCTGGCATGTTGGTGGCAGCGGCAGCGGCAACCCAGCGCGGTCTGTAGTAATATATTTTAAAATTCATTTTAAACATGTATAATTTAAAGTACATTTTCTAGAATTTCATATATTCTGTTGTCTCAGTACAGTTTTATGTTAGACCAACTGAAAATAAAACTTGTGCAAGTACTTAGGAGTGCCCAAACTGTATATAGACCAAGGGTTCGGCTTTTTTTTCAGTGTTGTATGAGAGAATACTGCTGAAATTAATTAAACTGCTATATAGATTGTGGTCAACGTATATAAATGTGCACACACATGTATGTAGTCAGCATTGTAGTTGGGAACCCAACCAGGAAATAGGGTTTCAGTGTTGGCAGGTACACTTTTGGAGTTCACCTCTATAGATAGAAAATTTAGCTTAACCCCAGTTCTCAAACATGTAAACATCTAAAAACTATATATCCATTCACTACTCTAGCATTAGCATATTTGAGAAGTTGAAGGTCGTAGACAGTTAGTGCTCACTGAGTCTGAAAGAATAGTCTAAATGGAATTTAAATCTAGAAAATGTTCTTGAATTTTAAAAAAATCTTCTTTGGATCTTCAACAGTACTCCCAGTTTTCCCTCTCTATCGCTTAGAATAATACCATTTTGTGGAGCAGAAGGGATATTCTGATGCTGTTGTTCTAGTGCCTGTGTGCTGATTTATTCTTATTTAGTTAAGTGAGTTTCTACTTTTGCATTTACATTATATTATAATTACATACATTTTACTTTTCCCAAATCCACTTCTTTTTTATTTTTATTTTTAAAAGTTTTTGCCTTTGTTTTTGGATTTTTTGTTTGTTCATTTTTTTTGTTGTTGTTGTTGTTGTTTTGAGACGGTTTTTCTATATAGCTTTGGAGCCTGTCATGAAACTTACTCTGTAAACCAGGCTGGTCTTGAACTCACAAAGATCCATCTGCCTCTGCCTCCTGAGTGCTGGGATTAAAGGTGAGTGCCACCACACCTTTTTGACCACTTGGTATTGGACAATCCCTTAGGTAGCTCATCCCTAGGGAAGAATAATTCTCCTTTTCCCATCAGTGGTTAATTTCCTGTATGCCTCCTTCTAGGGGTAGGCACTAGAAAATCTCCAGTGATCTTCTTCCTACTTTATTAGGAAAAATATAACCTTGGAAATGAATGGAAATGTCACACACTAAAATTAAGCAGATCCAAAGATTATACACCATAATGAGCTTCTGTGCCATGAGAATGGCATTCAGAAAGATTTGTTCATAAGGCTTGCTTTTGTTCTCAAGTCCTGTTGATAAAGTTGGGTGCCAGGCAAATCTGTGAGTTGGTTTCAACTCCTTTAATGTTTACTCTTTACATGGAAAGCAGATCAAGGAAAACATTTAAGTCAATATTGCATAAAATTTTTGTCTTTATTATAAAATTATGGTGCTGCAAAATCACTATTAAATTGCACTTTTAAAGAACCTTTAAGGAAGCTTTTAAAATATTGTTTGATTTTAAGAAATAGTTACACTGAATTAAACGAGCATTTTTTTATCGTAGTAAAATTGTTACAGAGAGCATTGTTGGTTTTCTTCTCCCTTGCCCATTCTACCCCACCCTGACCCCAGATTACTGTAGGCTATTTTGTTTTAACAGCATAGTAAAAATGACAGTGACAATTATGTGAAAATATAATAACAGTAAATATATCAGATTTTCTCTTTTGAGATCGAAACTTATATATGTAAAAAAACATAATCTCTGGGGCTGGAGAGATGGCTCAGTGGTTAAGAGCATTGCCTGCTCTTCCAAAGGTCCTGAGTTCAATTCCCGGAAACCACATGGTGGCTCACAACCATCTATAATGAGTTCTGGTGCCCTCCTCTGGCCTGCAGACATACACACAGAATATTGTATACATAATAAATAAATAAATATTTTAAAAAAATTTATAAAAAAACATAATCTCACTTTAGTTCTTTTGTTATTTTGGTTTTGAAAAGAAAAACTCGTGTTTGCTTGATTGATTTTTTTTTTTTTTGTAACTTGGGAAAATCAGCAGGTAGAGATGACCTGTGTGAATTTGGTATAGAATGGAATAATAGGTTATGAAGATTTCAATGTGAAAACTCTTGTTTTGGATCTTGTGGTTAAGACTGATAGGCGGTGACAACACCTAAACTAAATACATGGACTTTGGAAGTCTGGGGAGTGGGCAGAAGGTGAGGTGTCCCGCCAGAGAGAACATAAGTTATGTGATACTCTGGTTCTATATAGATACAGTGAGAGACAAGTTGTTCACACGCAGGTCCTGGACTTCTCTTGGACCCAGGATGTACAGCCACACACTGTTTCCTCAGAGCTGAGCAAGTGTTTTCTCTGTAAAGAAGAAGGAGCGTTCTCTGACCGAAGGGGATGTGTTGGCGACAGCAACACTCCAGCCATTACTCCCCTAGACTCTTATGGAAATCAGAGATACAAACAAGATCTTTGCCATGTCTGAGATCTCAGAGACCCTTCTCTGCCTGTCCTCTATACATGGACTAGGAAAGGCATTCATGTATTAAGCTGCAAAAAAATTATACCCTCAATATTAATAATAGTCACATACCTAATTAATCCATTTCCTAGTCAAAATTTTAATCTCTGTAGTACCTGTATTATGTTACATTTATTGGTAATGCGATTAGTTTTACACTTACTATTGTAGGATTTCTACAGTAAAGTGTTTTTTTAAGGTAATTAAAAAGTTTGTGTTGGGCAAACCTTGTATGCAGGTGTCCTAGGAGGTCAGGAGAGAGTGTTAGATCCCCTGGAGCTCAAGTTAACCGCAGTTTTGAGTAACCCAAAGTGGGTGCTGAGAACTGAATTTGGGTCTCTGAGATCTCAGACATGGCAAAGATCACTGGCAGAGAATCAAGCATTTTTAACTGCTGAGCCATCTCTCAAGCCCCATTACTGAAGTATATTTTTAACAAGGTTTTAACCTAGGGAAAGTTTTGCTATTACAGAGTGGTGTCTAAACTTGGTCATGTCCTTCCCTTACAAGCCTCTACTACTGACCTACACTCACTCAGTGGCTCAAGTCTCAAACCCCACATAGAGGAGACATGTGGCCTCATTCCAGCCTGCCCTCCCATTTCACCTTTCCCCCTTTATCCACACTCATCAACTTTGAGTTTCTCTTGTTTCTATGTGATTTATAGGTAATAGCACCATGATTGCTTGTAATTTACATAATTCCAATTTTTGTTTTTATTCTTCTCTCACACAATACACACCAGCCACAGCTTCTCCTACTTCCACTTTTCCCAGTTCCATCCCACCTTACCTCTCCCCTAGATCCAACTCTCACCTATCTCCCCCGCCACTCAGGGACATGAGCTAAACATGGCACAAGTTACAATAATACCAGTCATAAAGTTTCATATCAAGGCCGGGCAAGGCAAACCAGTAAGAGGAAAAGGGTCCCAAGAGCAGGCAAAAGAGTCAGACACCCTACTCCCACTGTTAGGAATTCCCCCAAAACACCAGGACAACAACCATAATATACAGAGAGGACCTAGCAAAGACCCACACATTTGCTGTCTCAGTCTCTCTGAGCTCCCATGAACCTTGCTTACTTGATTCACTGGCCTTGCTCAGGTGTTTTTAAACCCTCTAGCTCTTTCATGGGGTTTCCAGAGCTCCCAAGGGGAGGGATGTGATGGAGACCTCAAACCTGAGCGTTCTCTCTCTCTCTCTCTCTCTCTCTCTCACACGCACACGCACACACTCACACTCACACACACACAGAATGTTTGGCTCTGGGTCTCTGTATCTGGTCCCATCAGTGCCAGCACTGTTAAAATATGTTCTTGAGACTTTTAAAAAGCAAGGTGACTTTCGTGTGTGTGTGTGTGTGTGTGTGTGTTGCATGTACAAGCCTGAGGTTAACACAGACAGCCTTTATTGTTCTCCACCTTGTTCTCCGAGGCAGAATCTTTCTCTTAATCTGGAACTCTTATTTATTCTAGTCTAACTATTTAGCTTGCCCCCAGGACCCCCATCTCCTCCTCTGAGGGCTGGCAGTACAGGCTGATGCCATGCCCACCAAGCTTTTATGTGTGTGCTGCAGATCCTGAAGCCTATCTGTCATCAAGCATGTTGCTCACATTAACCATTGAGTGAGCTCTTTTGACGCTAAACTCAACTGAGTAGAACCAAGTCATTTGTTTACATTTGACTTTAGAGATAATTCTTAATAATGTGCTTAATAATGTGAAAAGCTTTGATTTTTCTAGTGCTTTTCCTCTCCCCATCATTAATTTAGCTGCTGTGTTCTTTACACAAGATTTGCATTTCTTCATATCCCACATTGAGCTGTCAGTATATCTTCCAGAAGCCTACTATAAGCTACTCCCTTTGTCATCTTTAACCTCATTTCTTTGTTTTCATGGTAGAATCTGAACTAGCCTATATAACTAAGTATTGATGAAACATCATATTATAAAGTAGTTAGGAGTTCATTTTTAGAGCTTGTAGAAAGAATGCTGGGAGTGGAAATCCATCTGATGCCATCCATTGACTGTTCACTTTTGGGCCATCTAGCCCTGGAATGGAAATAGTAATATTATGTAAAGGTTCGTACCCAGAGTCTCACTTACTGTGCTGATATAAGTCATTATTAATACATTTCCTTGAAGTTGGTATCTGTGACGATGACGATATGTATACATGTATACTCTGGTAGTTGCTAAGTACACAGAACAGTTGACCCTCTACATCCATGGGTTTCTTATCTGCAGATTCATCTTCAGACTCTGGTCATGCTTCTAAGCAATGCTGTATAAAAATTCCTTATGTAGCATTCATAAGAGGAGCCAATCTCACAAAGGGCATATCCAGGCTCTGTGCAAATGCTGTACTTGTTTTGCATAGGAACTGTAATTGTCCTCACATCTTTGTGTCTATGTGAAGACTGCAACTAGTACT